GTAGAAAAGGGTTGGGGCCAGGACACATCCCTGTCTCACCCTGGCAGACACCGGGAAGAAGGCAGAGATGCCCTCCCCACACTTGACAGCACTCTCAGTATCTGTATACAGGCCAGACAGCAAACCAATAGTTCCAGGGGGGATCCCACGGAGACCCAGTAGGCTCCAGAGACTCTCCCGGTGCACAGTCGAAAGCCTTCTTGAGATCAACATAAGCTGCAAGCATACCCTGTTGAAACCCAAGTTGGCGTTCCACAAGGACACGAAGTGCTAAGACACGGTCTATAGTTGACTTCTTGGGTGTAAAACCAGACTGCTCAGGTCTCTGTGCTCGTAATAGATGGTCGCGCACTCGTGCCAGAAGCAGATGAGTGAGGACCTTGCCTGGTACGCTGAGCAATGTGATACCTCTGTAGTTGCCACAGTCCTTTTGGTCCCCTTTCCCTTTCCAGATAGGGATGACCAAGCCCCTTTTCCAGTCAGGGGGAATGGTACCAGTCTCCCAAACGGCAGACAGGACTGCATGCAAACCACAGATCATGGCTTCTCCACCCGCCTTCAACAACTCTGCAGCAATCCCACAGACATCAGCAGCCTTTCCACTTTTCAGCTTAGACACTGCCCTTCTCACCTCTTCGATGGAAGGTGGTGCCTCACTGATTGGTGGATCAGCCAAGGGGGGTAAGTCGCTTGGCTTGCTCGAGGGGGGAGATGTAGGTCATTTGGAAGGTCGTTGGGTAAACCAGGTTCAGGAGTGGAGGGTACGAAGTGGCTGCTTCGTGTGTTAAGTAAACTCAGGAGGACCGACTAGAAGGTGCAGTTTTTTCAACCAGGGACAGATGTGTTTATATCGTCTGCAGCGCTTGAAACACTGAAATACCGCATAGGAATACAGGTCCTGTTCGGTATCTACAGATGGTTCCTGATGATCCGATGGTCGCTAGGGTCGTCGCGTGACAGAGAAGCGGGTGTGGCGGAGGTTTCGCACATTCACATTAGCGAGGAGGGTTACATCGTCTTCAGAGGATGAAATATAAGTGTACCGGGCCAGCAAAAGGGCTAAGGAGGAGGATAGTAATGTATTTGTCAATCACCTTACTAAGTTGCCGAAAAAAATGAGAGCGTAATAACAGTTTGACACAAGAAGGGTAACGTGTCAAGTAATGGTGTTAAGGATGTGGATTTGTTAGGATTAGCGAGTTCAGTGGAGTGCTATCATATTGAAACTACTTGGACAAGAATTGCAAATCTTTGGGCTAAATAGGCAAGTATTTATACTTGAGCCGGACGATATACACACACATTCATAAAGGTAGTAGTAATGATACACTTACTAGTAGGGTATAGTAAGCAGGTGAAAATAATAATATTACAACGAAAATAGTAGCAGTAAATATGAATAACATACCGGGAGAAAACAGAACATATCAATTTATAGTTATTTGTTCTGGGAGAAAATAAAATGTAATGAACTGCAGTATGAGGAGAATAATAATAAATATTAGACAAAACACCAATAGCAGAAAATCTTAGTGTCTGACTAGGTTTGTTGTGTTGGAAAAAAAACAATGGTTGATAGCGTGAAGTTATATAGTATAGAGTTAATAGTGTGTGTTCGTTGAGTGTCAAATCGCAATCGTCGTCAGAAGAGGAATTGGGCGTAAAGAGAGGCAGTTCGACAGGAGTAGCTTGTCGGAAGATAGCGTGGACCGACAACAGGCGTCAGCGAGGAGCATGGTGATAGATGAATTAGTGTGGGCGTTGTGAACTTATTGATCATCGCTGCCATCACAATATGAACGACACGTCAGATGGTCTTGGGCGTTTCAATGAAAGGGGCCTTAGCTTGCTGGTTTATTGTTAAAGACAGATATGAGACCCCCAAGATACCCCATGTCCCCGTGGTCGAGGTTGTGGAGCTGCACCCTGTGTGATGTGGCCTGTCTGCCGTGTCTCTCTCCTCCGTCTGACGAACGTGTCCTTTCATGCGGCGGCTCCTTCAGATCAGATTTATTCGGCCGTGACAAGAGGGTGAGTGTAATTTATATAATATATATATTATATATATATCATATATATGTATATATATTGTGCTAATATGTATTACATACATATATATATATATATATAATTTTCCGTCCGTGAGATGGGAGTGTAATAAATATTATATATAACATATATATATATTACATATATATATATATATATATAGTGCATATATGTATTATATATATATATCATATACGTATTTATATTAATGTTTTATATTTATGTATTTATATTAATATGTTTTATATTTATGTAATCATCATCATAAGGGGGCATACGCATGGCTGCGCTTTGCCGCGCCCAACCTTTGCCTCCATCTCCTGGGGTCCCTCCGAGCGAGCCTCCATGCAGCATTCCTTCCCACTCCCAGTACATCTTGGCAGATCTGATCGACTTGCTTCAGCCATGAGTTCCGTGGCCTTCCCCTTGGTCTTCTCCAGCCTGGGTCAACCCCCTCGGAGATGACCCTATGAGCCGGATCTTCCTCAGGGAAACGAGCCACATGTCCATAGAGCTGAAGTTGGCGCTCTCGTATCAGACTGGTAATAGGTCTTGAATCAGTCTCATGGAGTATCCTCTGATTGGACACATGGTCCCTCCAGGTATACCCCATGATTCTGCGAAGACACTTAGTACCGAAGGAGTTAAGACGGGCTTTCAGAGCACTGTTCAGTGTCCAGGTCTCACACCCGTAGAGCAAGACCGGGATCACCAGTGCTCTGAAGAGCCTGATCTTAGTTCTCCTAGTCAAATACCGACAGCGCCAAATACTCCTATTGAGTGAGTCCATAACGCCATAGGCCAGTCCGAGTCGTCGAGTGACTTCCCGGTCGGAACCTCCGTCGCTCTGCACTACACTACCAAGATAAGTGAAGCTATCCAAGACCTCAATGTTCTCGTTACAGGCATGCACAGACTGAGCATCGACATCCAAAAAGTCCCCAAATTCCTGAACCTTGATCTTGGTCCAGTTGACCGCGAGTCCCAATGGCTTTGCCTCCTCATGCAGCGCCTCGAGAGCTACTTCCAGGACCTCTAATGTCTCCGCTAGAATCACTGCATCATCGGCAAAGTCAAGGTCTGTGACCTTGAAATTACCAATTGATGCCCCACAGGAACTACGGTTCACGGTACGGCCAAGTATCCAGTCCATACAAGTGTAGAAAAGGGTTGGGGCCAGGACACATCCCTGTCTCACCCTGGCAGACACCGGGAAGAAGGCAGAGATGCCCTCCCCACACTTGACAGCACTCTCAGTATCTGTATACAGGCCAGACAGCAAACCAATAGTTCCAGGGGGGATCCCACGGAGACCCAGTAGGCTCCAGAGACTCTCCCGGTGCACAGTCGAAAGCCTTCTTGAGATCAACATAAGCTGCAAGCATACCCTGTTGAAACCCAAGTTGGCGTTCCACAAGGACACGAAGTGCTAAGACACGGTCTATAGTTGACTTCTTGGGTGTAAAACCAGACTGCTCAGGTCTCTGTGCTCGTAATAGATGGTCGCGCACTCGTGCCAGAAGCAGATGAGTGAGGACCTTGCCTGGTACGCTGAGCAATGTGATACCTCTGTAGTTGCCACAGTCCTTTTGGTCCCCTTTCCCTTTCCAGATAGGGATGACCAAGCCCCTTTTCCAGTCAGGGGGAATGGTACCAGTCTCCCAAACGGCAGACAGGACTGCATGCAAACCACAGATCATGGCTTCTCCACCCGCCTTCAACAACTCTGCAGCAATCCCACAGACATCAGCAGCCTTTCCACTTTTCAGCTTAGACACTGCCCTTCTCACCTCTTCGATGGAAGGTGGTGCCTCACTGATTGGTGGATCAGCCAAGGGGGGTAAGTCGCTTGGCTTGCTCGAGGGGGGAGATGTAGGTCATTTGGAAGGTCGTTGGGTAAACCAGGTTCAGGAGTGGAGGGTACGAAGTGGCTGCTTCGTGTGTTAAGTAAACTCAGGAGGACCGACTAGAAGGTGCAGTTTTTTCAACCAGGGACAGATGTGTTTATATCGTCTGCAGCGCTTGAAACACTGAAATACCGCATAGGAATACAGGTCCTGTTCGGTATCTACAGATGGTTCCTGATGATCCGATGGTCGCTAGGGTCGTCGCGTGACAGAGAAGCGGGTGTGGCGGAGGTTTCGCACATTCACATTAGCGAGGAGGGTTACATCGTCTTCAGAGGATGAAATATAAGTGTACCGGGCCAGCAAAAGGGCTAAGGAGGAGGATAGTAATGTATTTGTCAATCACCTTACTAAGTTGCCGAAAAAAATGAGAGCGTAATAACAGTTTGACACAAGAAGGGTAACGTGTCAAGTAATGGTGTTAAGGATGTGGATTTGTTAGGATTAGCGAGTTCAGTGGAGTGCTATCATATTGAAACTACTTGGACAAGAATTGCAAATCTTTGGGCTAAATAGGCAAGTATTTATACTTGAGCCGGACGATATACACACACATTCATAAAGGTAGTAGTAATGATACACTTACTAGTAGGGTATAGTAAGCAGGTGAAAATAATAATATTACAACGAAAATAGTAGCAGTAAATATGAATAACATACCGGGAGAAAACAGAACATATCAATTTATAGTTATTTGTTCTGGGAGAAAATAAAATGTAATGAACTGCAGTATGAGGAGAATAATAATAAATATTAGACAAAACACCAATAGCAGAAAATCTTAGTGTCTGACTAGGTTTGTTGTGTTGGAAAAAAAACAATGGTTGATAGCGTGAAGTTATATAGTATAGAGTTAATAGTGTGTGTTCGTTGAGTGTCAAATCGCAATCGTCGTCAGAAGAGGAATTGGGCGTAAAGAGAGGCAGTTCGACAGGAGTAGCTTGTCGGAAGATAGCGTGGACCGACAACAGGCGTCAGCGAGGAGCATGGTGATAGATGAATTAGTGTGGGCGTTGTGAACTTATTGATCATCGCTGCCATCACAATATGAACGACACGTCAGATGGTCTTGGGCGTTTCAATGAAAGGGGCCTTAGCTTGCTGGTTTATTGTTAAAGACAGATATGAGACCCCCAAGATACCCCATGTCCCCGTGGTCGAGGTTGTGGAGCTGCACCCTGTGTGATGTGGCCTGTCTGCCGTGTCTCTCTCCTCCGTCTGACGAACGTGTCCTTTCATGCGGCGGCTCCTTCAGATCAGATTTATTCGGCCGTGACAAGAGGGTGAGTGTAATTTATATAATATATATATTATATATATATCATATATATGTATATATATTGTGCTAATATGTATTACATACATATATATATATATATATAATTTTCCGTCCGTGAGATGGGAGTGTAATAAATATTATATATAACATATATATATATTACATATATATATATATATAGTGCATATATGTATTATATATATATATCATATACGTATTTATATTAATGTTTTATATTTATGTATTTATATTAATATGTTTTATATTTATGTAATCATCATCATAAGGGGGCATACGCATGGCTGCGCTTTGCCGCGCCCAACCTTTGCCTCCATCTCCTGGGGTCCCTCCGAGCGAGCCTCCATGCAGCATTCCTTCCCACTCCCAGTACATCTTGGCAGATCTGATCGACTTGCTTCAGCCATGAGTTCCGTGGCCTTCCCCTTGGTCTTCTCCAGCCTGGGTCAACCCCCTCGGAGATGACCCTATGAGCCGGATCTTCCTCAGGGAAACGAGCCACATGTCCATAGAGCTGAAGTTGGCGCTCTCGTATCAGACTGGTAATAGGTCTTGAATCAGTCTCATGGAGTATCCTCTGATTGGACACATGGTCCCTCCAGGTATACCCCATGATTCTGCGAAGACACTTAGTACCGAAGGAGTTAAGACGGGCTTTCAGAGCACTGTTCAGTGTCCAGGTCTCACACCCGTAGAGCAAGACCGGGATCACCAGTGCTCTGAAGAGCCTGATCTTAGTTCTCCTAGTCAAATACCGACAGCGCCAAATACTCCTATTGAGTGAGTCCATAACGCCATAGGCCAGTCCGAGTCGTCGAGTGACTTCCCGGTCGGAACCTCCGTCGCTCTGCACTACACTACCAAGATAAGTGAAGCTATCCAAGACCTCAATGTTCTCGTTACAGGCATGCACAGACTGAGCATCGACATCCAAAAAGTCCCCAAATTCCTGAACCTTGATCTTGGTCCAGTTGACCGCGAGTCCCAATGGCTTTGCCTCCTCATGCAGCGCCTCGAGAGCTACTTCCAGGACCTCTAATGTCTCCGCTAGAATCACTGCATCATCGGCAAAGTCAAGGTCTGTGACCTTGAAATTACCAATTGATGCCCCACAGGAACTACGGTTCACGGTACGGCCAAGTATCCAGTCCATACAAGTGTAGAAAAGGGTTGGGGCCAGGACACATCCCTGTCTCACCCTGGCAGACACCGGGAAGAAGGCAGAGATGCCCTCCCCACACTTGACAGCACTCTCAGTATCTGTATACAGGCCAGACAGCAAACCAATAGTTCCAGGGGGGATCCCACGGAGACCCAGTAGGCTCCAGAGACTCTCCCAGTGCACAGAGTCGAAAGCCTTCTTGAGATCAACATAAGCTGCAAGCATACCCTGTTGAAACTCAAGTTGGTGTTCCACAAGGACACGAAGTGCTAAGACACGGTCTATAGTTGACTTCTTGGGTGTAAAACCAGACTGCTCAGGTCTCTGTGCTCGTAATAGGTGGTCGCGCACTCGTGCCAGAAGCAGATGAGTGAGGACCTTGCCTGGTACGCTGAGCAATGTGATACCTCTGTAGTTGCCACAGTCCTTTTGGTCCCCTTTCCCTTTCCAGATAGGGATGACCAAGCCCCTTTTCCAGTCAGGGGGAATGGTACCAGTCTCCCAAACGGCAGACAGGACTGCATGCAAACCACAGATCATGGCTTCTCCACCCGCCTTCAACAACTCTGCAGCAATCCCACAGACACCAGCAGCCTTTCCACTTTTCAGCTTAGACACTGCCCTTCTCACCTCTTCGATGGAAGGTGGTGCCTCACTGATTGGTGGATCAGCCAACGGGAGTTGTGAAGACGGGGGATCTACCCTATACAGTTGCTCAAAGTACTCAGCCCAGCAGGCCCTATACTCATCAGGCTCTGACACAATGCGACCATCCTCTGCTCTCACTGAGCCCGATTGAGAGATGGACTTTGATCGGAGTTCCCTCAGGGCTCGGAAAGCAGGTTGAAGGTCATTTTGGGCAAAATGACCTTCCAACTCTTCCACGATGCCCCTAACATACCTCTCTTGGTCCACTCTCAAAGAGGCCCTAGCAGAGCGAGACAGCTCCCTGTGCAAGACATGGTTCCCATCCAGTCTGGCAGCATGACTCATCTCTATAGTGTTCAGTGTCTCGTCTGAGACAACACACCTCCTTCGCCGAGGTCGGACACCAAGGCACTCCTCGGCAGCTGACAGAGTTCCTC